GTACTCTCAGGCGATCGCTGAGAGAAAAAACTTTTCATTAAGTCAAAGGGAGTGTTCACATTAAGGAACTGTTTGGACACCAGCATAATAATCCAACAGCATGCACACTTTGACACTTCTATAGAAATCCTTTAACTGAAGAGCATTAATAGATTAAATCTCACAAACAACCCCTCTGACATAAGTAAGAATTATTATCCCCACTGTATACAGCTGGTCAAGACTTCTTCGAAGGGCAAAATCAGACAACATCCTTAGCTTCTGTATTTTCAATAATCTCTGTTTGGTTTGACAGGAATAGCTGGACCTATAGAAATAATTAATATTGCAGCACAAGAGAATCGAAAAACTGCACATATTTTTGGGAAGCTTTGCTGACCTGCCTCTCCAAGTGCTGCTATCACAAAACTGGACATTTTATACAAAGACTAGCACTGGTACAGAGTGTAGTGCAGTTACAAAAGGAGACTGGAAGCCAGGACTCCTGGGTTCCATACCCACATATGCCAGTGACTTTTGCTGCATGGCTTTGAACAAATCATTGCTCTGTGCATTAGTTTATTCATGAGTCAATGGGGATAATATTATTTACCTACATCACAGAAGTGCAATAAGACATAATTAATGTTTGTGAAGTGCTTCAGGATTGTTGTGTGAAAGATGTGGGAGGGCTAAGTATTATTAATTATGGTATTTCCTGCAGCTGCAAGTGGCATGGCCAGTCTGGTGACACTTGAACTTCCTGAAGTGAAGTCACCCCCAGTTTCAGGAAGAAGCCTATATATAGTGCCAACAAGTGAAAAAAGCTCTCAAACGAGACGGACTGATGTCGACATTGGGTGAACAGTCTCAAAGCAAAAAGCCTGGACTAAGCAGGCAGATATACTCTGAGGCAGATATCATGGGCTATGAGCCATGCTCCAGCAAGTGTGGAACACAAAGGCAAGCAAGACACTGCAGAGAGACGAGAAGAAAGTTGCCAGACTCACATCCCATGATGAACAAGGGCAGGGGCTGAGAGGTGCAATGGTAAGCATGACCTAGGACCAGGACATCAGCGGTCTTCAGACCCAGATGTCATATCTAGCAGTTCACCAGGGAAACAGCTCTGTAATCTCTATTCCCCCCACCAGGAGAGAAGACTGCAGTTTTAATTCCACTAGTGAGACAGAGAGGGCGCCAGACCCTCAACTGGTAAAAAAAGTCATCGTAGCTCCACTGAAGTTAATGGAGACATGCAGATTTACATCACCTGCGGCTCTGGCCCAAAGAGGTGAAAAGGCCTTATGAATGCAAGAGAGCCAGAAGAATCTCATCTTTGTGCTCCAGTCTCTTCAACTTGAGCTAAGGAATAGCCTTGGCAGAAGAGAGGATTTTGGAAGGAAGAGGTAACTTTTACCCCAAGCCTTTGGATTGTGGGATCTTTTGTGATTATGTCTCAGGAAAAAAGGTAAGGGGGAAAAAAGGGGAAATCTGAAGGGACAAATCTGCAGGGCTCCAACATGAGGAAGAAAATAATTTAAAGGAGATCTTGATACGGCTTTTGAGCAATGGGTGAGTCCACAACCCTAGCCAAACTTCATTGGCCTAGATAAAGCCTATAGAGCCGCACTGCTGACAGCTAATGGAGATCTCACTTAAGCTCAAGTAATCAAGGCCTAGTATTCATCTTCCATGCCACATGGGTGGTTTAGATGGTGACTGATGTCCAATGCAGCCAACTCTTCACTGCAGATGGATTTTCTACCACTTCCTTTGTGACTGGAGAAGCGTCCATGAGTATGATAGAAGGCAGTGCCCAGTGCAACAGAAAGGGAGGAATGGCTTTTTCCTCTTCCCCAACCCCTGTTGAGAATCCGAAGAGGGCTATGGAATAATCTCCACTTTCCAAAATGCTTGCCAGGGTCTTCATCCGTGTGACAAATTAACTTAACGAAATACTTTTAGTACCACGTAGTCAGTTATTCAGTGAGATGCAACAGCTTTGAGAGAATGTAGGTTTACAGGTAGTGATGCTGCCTTTGTCAACAAGAGACCCACCATCTGAGTTCCATCCCCCTCTTATTCCCACCCTGCACCTCTCTCTCACACACACACACACACACACACACACACACACACACACACACACAACAAAGAAGAAACTACAATAGACAAACTAAAACGTAGTACGAACCC